ACGAACATGTCGAATTCCAATGCCAGCCTGTATGATCCAGCCCAGCTCATCAAGTCTTGGAGTCTTTGGCAGAGACTGTGTGTTCGTGTGTCGGCTTGCAGCTGCTGTGTCCAAGCCGCAAACCAATCTGGACTCAGGAATGAGGATGCAGCGAAGCATGACAAGATTGTGGGTGCCAAGGCCATGGCGGTGAAGTCGGTTTTGGAAATGCCGGAGCAGTGCCGCGTGTCGATCCTCGCCGCCGTCAGCTTGTATGGATGGGAGGGCGACTGGGGCAGCAATTGAGTCCGATCATTTCTAGAGTGACAGTGTGCAGCTTGTGCGAACCAACAGAGGCTGTCCATACAGTGACGACTCCTTGAGCTCGAAGAAGCTGCTGCCGACGTATAATTTCAAGGGGTCCCGGGTTCCGCGAAATTCGCCTTGGCAGAGACGAGTACAGAACTCCGAGAAGTCGTGCGTGCTGCTGTTCCGGATGATCAACAACCAGTGGTCGGGGACATCTCTGAAGAATAGGGCGAGAAAAATGTTGAAAGGTGAATTGGAGGAGAAAGCGGAAGCTTGTGCACTGGCGTGTGTCTTGTCTGAACATTCACTGCACATTGACATCCTGCTTGCACTGCTTGCAGCTTCATTGTCATTCCAGCCCCAAACAAAGGCAATGTCGTGCATGAGTTGATCTCCCAAGTTCCCAATGCCGAGGGCGTTCTGCAGGAGAAGCTCCTAGTCTATTCCTGTTTGCCTGTGACCATACAGCAGCACTTGATTTGTGTTCGCATCCCAGGTTCCTCGCAAAGCTGGAAAGCGGCGACCTCGTCCTGGAGATGGATCTGATTACTTCGTGCCAGAACAAGGACGAGAAGTGGCATCCGCGAGACAATGCATGCTGCTTGGCACAGAGAAGCAAAGGTCGCAAGGCTTGCCGTGCATTCCGGGTCTCGGGGCTTGCCTCACATTCCGGACTCAGGCTTGGCCGAGATTCTGAACAGCTTGGCAGCTGACAAGGACGGGAAAGGCGGCACGGCGACAACCGACTCCAAGATGGCCGATGCCAAGGCAGCTTTGGACAATCAGGCTTACCAGCTCATGGTGGAGGAGATCGGCTACGACGAACAGTGTCTGGACGTCTACCAGCGGAAGCTCCAGGACTTTGCCGTGCGTGTCATTCACCAGAAGGACACATGGCTGAAAAAGCGGCTGGACCGGGCCTCCGATGCAGCACGGCAGTGGTGGGACACGAAGGCTGCTCCTCTGGAAAGATCGGGCAAACCGAAACCCTAATGTTTGTTTGCGTTTGTGTCAGGTGCATCCACTCAACTAAGAAGTTGCATCCAATCCACTTTGTAAGATTTGAACTTCATAGAATTTGGGGTTGATTTGAGAATCGTAGGTAAGCAGCATCCAATCCACTTTGTTCAGTTTCAAGTTTATAGGATTATAGGGTTTTATGTTTCTACGTTTAGAAAGCATTTGAAACTTATGTGTAAGCTGCATCGAATCCACATCGTCGGATTTAGAAGGATCCAGGGCTGTTTCGAGATGTCTGCA